TTCTTGTTTTTGATGATAGTGTTGACCTTATGAAAGAGGGTTTTTTTCCAGCCATGGCTGACTGTGAGGCCACCATTTGGGACATCACTTTTTAGTCAATGAAATTGTCCCACTTCTTCTTCTGTTCAGAACCAGCTCTCGTGGAGCCAAAGCTATTACCCAGATGCTTGTCAGGCAGACACAAAACCACTTTGCAGTATGTTTTGGCTTGCTTTTGGGGGACTTCCTGCCAACGGAGCGATGGCATTTGCCCAAGTTTACCATGAACTTGAGGGCAGATTTCTCTGTTCCTACCCTTGGAACGCTCCAGAACACATTTTCCATTCTGCACAGGATAAAAGGAGCTTCCCTCCACGGGAATGCTGATGGCAACATCCCAGGCAGCAAATACAGTACATCAGGCTAAACATTTCTCCCTCCTTTTTCACGAGGAGGGAATGCTCTGGTTATTTTGTTCTTAAATTATTTTATTCTTTCTTAAGTTTGAGCAAAACTACGGTCAGTGTCCCTGAAAGTTTTTTCTTGAAGCTTTAACCCTCGCATGTGCTTTCACAGCTGGTAGAAAACATCTCTGATGCATGACCATGTGATGGGGCTCCCTTTCCCAAGGATGCTGTAAACGCTGCAGCCTTCTCTTTCTTCAGTATTTCTTCTGCTTGTGAGAGATGGATTTCATGGGAGCTAATTCTGTTCCCAAGTCTTTTTGCTGCTCCTGTTCTGACTCTGAGCTTGGCACTCGTGTAGAGCTTACAGCTCTGAGCCTGCCTGATGCTGGGTAAGAGGTTGTTACTCCTTTATTATTTTTATGAAAGGTTTTGATGCTCTGGCAGGGAAATCTCTTCGCAAAACTCAGCTCCTTGGTTGTGTCTGATTCACCCTTTGGTTGCATCATTATCCACCCATTGGCATCATCAGTGAATTTGTCTGAAAATACAACAGTGTTTCTCAGGACTCAACCTTTTTTGGACTGGAGAGTGTTTCAACTTCTGACTCTTTCATAGACCAAGAGCAAGCCTGAAATTGCCTTGAAGACCAATGGTCCCCTGGTGCATGTTTAGCTCCAAATTGGTGCATTGCTTCTGTCAATGCTGTCCATCAGCGGTTGTTTTTCCAAAGACACTGTTTGCGCTCTGCCTGTCATGTTGCCCTCAGGTTGCCATGAGCTTTTGTTCCCAGCAGTCACTGCCAGGTTGGCAGCGGGAGGTATTCTCTCTCAAATCAGACGTTTAATGGCAAACGTGGCTCAGGATGCCCAGTGTCCCCCAACCTTTTCTCCTTTTCCGGTGACTGCAGCAATAGGTCAGCACATTGCAACTGAAAACCAGCTCGTGTCCATTTGGGAAGGAGGCACATGTTGAAGAGCATGGGGAAGGCTTTTGGGGACAGCGAAGGTAACTAGAAGCCCAGTTTTACTTGGCTTTTAGAAGCCTTTTAATGCCAAAATTCTGTTGACTTTGTACATCTTGCCCATTTTCAGTATGAGGCAGAGCTGGTGCCTGCTTTTGCTGTGAATGAGGTGTTAGCATGTACCGCTGCTGCGCTCAACCTCTGGTGTTTCCTGCTCGTGAAGTGTTGTCTTTGGGTGAATTTAAAATTCCCCTCCTTCCCCTCCTGCCAAATGAGCTGCTGGGTGCATGGGCAGTGGTGTGCTCGGCTTACCTCCCTGCTGCTGGTTTGAAGCCAAGCATCACCAGGTGTACAAATGCACGGCTCAGCCCTCCACAACTTCACTGTTCACTCCGTACTTTTAGAGATATTATTTACAATTGCACTTGGCTTTGTATGCATCGCTTTATTACAAATAAATGATCATACTATATATTTGCTAGGCTTTTACAGATTTTTCTGTTCTGCAGCCAAAGTTGCAGCTGTGCCTAAACTTCTGGCTAGGGCATGTTGTAGAGCCTTTTATGGAAGCCCTGGACTCCCAGCACTGTGCTGGGCTTGCAACCACAGCTGCATCCGATTCTTCTCTCAGCGCTGGCACCCCTGCTCAAGCAAAAACCAAGGAGCCCCTCATGTACCTCAGCACCTATGGGTGTCCCATCCTATTGCTTCCTATGTGCTGGCAGGGGCTTTCAGCCCCGCGGTGCTGTTGTGTGACAAGGTGGGGGCAAAGCGATCAAAAAGGATGCCAGAAGCCAGGGCAGCAAATGGCTGTGGTGGGCACACGCCACTGACCTCCTGTGATCAACCAGGCAAGTCCTTGGGCTCCTGCTGAGTCAGGGGTTGAGTAATTCCTAGAAGTTCTAGGAAGTGTCAGCGGTTAATGAAACCAGGCAATAATGTGGTATTAGTGGCTTCTTTTTCTGGAAATTCCCATGAAAAACTTGTGGTTGTGAGCGTGCATAGACCCTTTGCACAAGAATGGAGGTGTTGTTTCTGGCACCATGGCCAGATTGCGATCCAGTAAATTATGGTCTGTTTACTTAAAATGCCACCTGCGGTTTCAGTAGGATCCAACATTAAATTATTATCCTAAACTGTTTTATGTCGTTACTGCTTGTTTACAGAGTTGCTGCACATCTTCCCAGGAATGGCTGAGCTTACTTTGACCCCTACTCTGAGCTTGTGCATCGGTTTGTCTGCAAAGCACTTTGGGATTTATTTGGAATGGGTAGAGAAGTTTTCTAAAGAAATACTTTTTTAATCTTCTGGATGCAGGCTTGGGTGGGAGCCATTAGTCCCTGCAGAAAAATTCGGCTGCTACAGCTGAGATTGCTTAATGGTGGCAGTTCTCCAGGACATCTTAACTAACTAAGTGCTGCTTGCTACCATTGCATCTGGAGTCCTTGGGAAAAGACATGATTGAACATGTTAAAAAGCATCTGTTTTCATAACTGTAGCTAAAATCCCTGGATAGCTGGGGGTAATTGTCCATTGTTTTTGAGCGCGTGGTCGTGGACTGCCCTTCGAAAATAAGGAGCACCTAGAAGATGAACTGCAGGCCTGCTTCAGTGCATGGTGGCATGCTGTGCCGATGACCTGGTTTTGATGAGTGTGTTCTTGCTTTTTCAGCAAGCAAGAGCCAAGGGACCTCCTCTTAGCAAGAAGTAAACTGTATTGATAGGAGTCTTCAAACTGCATGACAGTGTGTATTGGGTTTGAGTGGCAAGGTTTTGGTAGCAGGGAGGCTATGGGAGTAGTTGCAGTGCCTGGCTTTGGAGGGGAGGGTGGGCTGGGCCAGTCTTTTTGGTTTATATAAAAAGGCTTTTTTAGAAGCACGAGGGTGTTTGGAGGGCAGTGGATACTTTCTCAGCTTGGTTGGAAGTGCGGAGAGCATCTTGAGTGCTTTGTCCTTTGCTTCTCTGGAGCAGAGATCAGTCTTCTCTCTGCCCTTTCTGGTAAAGCTGGGCTGACTGGCTAGAAAAACTGCCTACAAACCTTGCCATGCAAAAAAAATGGAGCGTGTAACACCTTCATTTGATAGGAGGTTGTGATAAGTTTGGGTATAAGGCGGAATCCAGTCCATTAGGAAAATTGGTTACGCAAGAGAAGAGAGAGATTTCAGTTTGCTGTGCCAAAATACATGAAGAATTTGGGTTACGACACAGGGAGGTGAAAGTCCGTGCTCAAAATGCTCAGAGGAACGATACGGCACATCCAGTTCACCTACAAACAGCCCAGTGCGGGGTCTGAGATGGGTGATATGGGTCAATTGCGCTTCGTCCTGAGCCAGAGCAATACTCCTCTCATTCTTCGAATTCCTAAACTGTTCACCGTTCCCCACCCAGCTCTCAGCAGAGGAGACATCACTAACTCAGCAGGGGATGCTGAAAACGTCAAGATGTTGTAAAGGCGGGACTGGAGGTTTTTACTGGGGAGAAAAAAGTGGTTTGATCTCACAGGGCAGAATGGCCATGTTGAAAATGGGCTGTAGCACTAGGAGTCTTCATTTTGTCTGTTTGGGAATAATGAAGAGTGGCAGAGGTCTTACCGAAAGAGTGAGTGTTGTGATGATCTCTGCTGAGGAGTGATTGCCAGGCCTGCGTGTTTCTAAAGGGGGAGCTCTCCTGGTATCCTTAGCTGCAAAAAGTGAGTTTGAAAAAGAGAGAGGCTATAGACACCTCTGAGGCAGGTAGAGCTGTGGGCTGTAGTTGCAGGAGACAAGAGTCTAATCTGGAGTGAATGTTGTAGCTCTTTGAAGTGTGTCTCAGAAACATTTTTCTAGTGCATGCAAGCGTGAAGGGGGATTTGCGGAAAGCGAGGGTGATTCCACATGTTGGAGGGAGCGGGGAAAATTCAGGAAGTGCTCTTTTAAAATTCCCTTTTAAGGAGCAGTGTACGTACAGTACAACAGTGCACGGAAACCAGCTGTGACCGCAAATGGAGCAGAAGTTAGGTTTCTTGATGATTCAGAGTGGGGGGCTAGTTTAGTTTAATTTTGGATAATTTAAGACATTGAACACAAAAATAAGTTTTAAAAATATTTTGAGACATATATGTAAAAAGTATGTTTTTGTTAAACGTAACAATGAAGGATTTGAGCTGGAAATTAAAGGGCAGCGCAAACAAAAGCAAAACATAGTGCTTGGGGTTTTTCTCTTCTTCTGTGGTCACTCTACAGAGTGTCTTTTGTGTCTTGATTGTTATTTTCAAACTGAAGTGGCTGTGGGAGACAAGTTCAATGCTATTCACAGCTCTGTTCATGTTTTTCGCTAGAAGAAATACTATCCAAGGGGTGAGGGCAGTGGTGGTGGGCAGCTTAGCCCTGTCTCCATATTTTGTTCTCCTCCACAGTTGTACCTATTTAATGTACTCCACATTGTACCAAAGTGTGTACAGAGTTACCCGACTCTCTGAAGGCTGCCAGAGTAGCAGTCACCCATGCACGCAGGTCCATGTTGAAACCTCTTCGCACAACACATGTTTCTGCCTTTAGAGCAGTGTAGGGTTGAGATCCAGGCTTTCTGATGATCTTCTCCATCGCCTTCGTGGGGTTTCCCTGGTTTGGATGTGGCTGTTGTGCTGTGGCTAACACTTGCTCTCCCCCACTGCAGGGTTTTGGCTGGTGTGGACCATCATCATCATCCTCAGCTGCTGTTGTGTTTGCCATCACCGACGCACCAAGCATCGTCTCCAGGCCCAGCAGCGGCAACACGAGATCAACCTGATTGCTTACCGGGAGGCCCATAACTATTCAGCCCTGCCGTTTTATTTCCGTATGTATCTCGCTGTTTTTCCTGGAGGTTGTGGGGAGCAGGGCAGCAGCGAGTTTCCTGTGTGGAAGCAGGGAGCAGTGGTTGGGCTCAGCAAGAGGTGGTGGGCAGCTTTACTGCCTAACCCTGGCTTGTAGAGAGGAGGTGGCATATTGCAGCTGCTGGATGCATTTGAGCCCCCTTGAGTCTGGAGTTGAATCACACCAGCTACAGCACCTTAACATCCACCCTTGATTTCGCTCTGTGAGTGCAATGATGCCCTGGGTGTCTTTCTGGAAAGGTTCTTAAAATATCTCATTCAGGACTTTATGTATGCTCCTCCTTTCCAGCCTGTGCTTACTGCTGGTGGGACTGAGATGTGGGAAGTGGCTTCACGAAGTTTGGTCACACAGGGTGGGTGGAAGTGGTGCCTCAGCAGGGATCCTGCTGACTCCCCTCCCCGTGCTGTGGTTCCCAGACCACGCTGCTGCTAAGCAGCCCTAGGACTTTGCAGGAAGGAGCCGTTGCTCACAGCTCAGAGAAAGTACAATTGTTTTGTGCTCTCCTTCATGCCCTGTTACGCTGTGCTAGAACAGCAAGTCTCGGCCTTTTGACTGGAGGTACCACAACTGAGTTTCCTGTAATGGACTGTTGAATTGCGTGTATGAACTCGTTTTTCTTGTTGAACTCTTGCAGCCACCTCAGAAATAATCCCCAGCAGCGTTTCCCTCCCCAGCCCCAGGGATACACAATTGCACATGGAAAACTGCAGTGCTATCTTTAAATGTTTCCAGTATTTTAAGTCCATTCTGTCTATATAGACCATTTTGTTCCCTCTTAAGAAGTAAACAAAATCTTCATAGACTTGTAGGGCTGTAAGTACAATAAACCAAACTCTCTTGCCTGTATACTGCCAGTTTATTCTGACCGCAGAAGAAAAACTGAACCCAGCACTAAAACAATGACCAAAAGCTAGTTCCTTGTAACTGCTTATGTCTCTTCATATTTGGACAAAGCTTTGTGAAATGAAATCCTTGCTCTTGAAAGTGGAAACTCAGCTGAGAAGCCAGTCTGGGAGAGGGCTGGCGAGTTCTCTCCCAGGTTTTTCCCTCCAGCCAACACAGGCCATCCCTTGGTGAGGATTATGGGGCTGTATTGGGGTGCAGGGTAGAGGGTAGTGGTGGGAGGTTTGTCTGGTAGCCCTAAGTATAGACTTGAAAGCCAGGAGATCAGGCGGCTGTTCTCAACTGTGCCCATCTCCTCCTGTAATGGTGCCCTCCTGTGCCACGATTGCTGCTTCTCTAGAACATGACACGTCTCATTTGGGCGAAGTTTTGGCACCCTTGTAAAGCCCATTGAGCTGTTCAGTGGGAAGGTGCTAGTAGATGACAAATGACATACTGACCTGTATTAATTACTTGTTTCCTGAGATAAGCTGTTCATGAAATAACTTCTCCTCCTTGCCTCCCACTTTTAGGGTTTTTGCCAAATTATTTACTACCTCCCTATGAGGAAGTGGTGAACCGACCGCCAACACCCCCTCCACCATATAGTGCCTTACATCAGCAGTGCATCCCAGCAGGCAGCAGTAGCACAATCCCGGACACGCCAAGAAACCTACAGCCAGCACAGAGCAGCTCAGCAGCACCCAGCGGCAATAACAGCAGTACTGACAACACCGGGTCCCCCGGCCTTGGGGACCCCGAGCCCTCCACCACCATGCTGGTTGAACGACCGGTTGCCAAAATGCAAAGCGTGGAGCCCGGCAGTACCAGCATGGGAGCTGAGCTAGTGGAGAGGGCCAGTCCCGATAAGGATACGGAGTGCAAGGAGGAACTGCTAAAAGGTTACAGCTCTGAGAGCTTAGAGCAGAGCAGCGCCATTCCTGACACGAAGGATAAGACGCCGGGCAGGCAGCGCCGTTTCACCGGTGACTCAGGCATCGAAGTCTGCGTATGCAACCGGGGCCATCACGATGACGACCTCAAGGAGTTTGATGGGCTCATTGATGATGCTCTGGATGGGCCCCTGGACTTCTGTGACAGCTGCAGCGGCCACCCCCACGGGGACGAGGAGGAAGGGCTTTTTAATGCCGCAGAAGAGGAGCACCGCGAACAGAGCCACCACCACCTGCCCCGGCAGCCGGTGTGTGTACTTTTGAACACAATAAATGAGCAGGACTCTCCAAACTCTTGTACCAATAACTCCCCCAGCTAAGGTGGCAGAGTGGAAGGGAAAATCGGGGGAAAAAAACAAAGAAATAAAAGTGGAATAAGAGGATTAAAACTTTAAAAGGAGGAAAAGGTGATATAACCTTCTTTTTTTAGTTTATTTTTCTTTCCCCCCCTCCAATATAATTCGGGGACTAGTCCTCGAAGGCCTGGCTTGCAGGGGATGGGTTGCTCTGGGTTTTGTTAATCGTGTCCATCCTGCTCTGCTGATGTTTCTCAACCTTCTAACAAATGGAATTTTCCCAATGGTGATTTTGGTGATGGTTATTACGAGTTTGTTGGTTTTAGTTTTCTGAAACACTGCTTTATCTCGCAATCAGTAAAGCTCAGCAAATCTCACCCTGGGAGGATACGAAATCACCGTAAGGCTTCAACCTCCAGGTGTCTTCCCAGAAGCAAGCAGCTTCTGACAGTGCCGGCAGTCAGTAGCCCAAGAGTTCTGGTTTGATATAGTGCTCTTGAGACATTGGGGATTTCTTTTTGGTTTAGCTTTTTTTTTTTTTCTTTTAGTGTTAAGTTTTCCCAAAGCTGGTGAATGCCTCTATACATCAGCCCTGTAATCTCTGGTGCTTCAGTGTTTAAGACAGCTGATAGGAAATTTCCCACTTGAAGCTGGTGACTGAAGGACCAGCTTCTTCCAGAAGGAGCGTTAGTCTACTGTAAGCAGTTTGAAAAGAAAGGATTTGCAGAAATTTGCCTTTATATGTCATTTTTAAAGACAAGTATATTCCTTCAATGCCTCCAAGAGCACAGTTAGAAGTAGAATCCAGGCAGCTGGGCTGCCTTCCAAGTACTGTGGTCTCCGAATGACCTTTTCCCGGTGTGCTGCAAAAGGGCTTGGCTTTATTTTTTTCCTTTTTTTGCACCCCAAGAGCAGCACATTTGAGTTAAGATGACAAAAAAAGAACAGGGCTCTCTTTGGCCAGCGTGCCTTCAAGCTTCAGCGATGCATGTTGAACAAATGGAGATGAGAGTTCCGTCCGTTGCGAAGGGATGACTTACCATGTAGATGTGGAAGACCTGTGCAGTATTTTTTTTTTTTGATCCAAAAGTTTGGTGCGATTCTAATGTTGACCACTTAAAAGAAATGAATGTCTGTTTTCTTTTTCTTTCTTTCTTTTTTTTTTTATGGTGGCAACTGGCTACTGTATAACGTCTGTGAGCGTGTGTGTGTGACTGCAATCCATGCATGCGAGTCCTACTGGTAATATGAAAACCTGCTGTAAGACTGCAAGAAAATTTACTGTAGCTTTGCTTTAATAAACGGTAGAGATTTTGTTAGTAACAACCTGAAGGAAAAAAAAAAACCAAACAAAAAGCTGAAACTAACATTCCCTAGAGTGCTCATGTGGAAGAGAGCACAGTTCAGACTATGTATCTCCTTCTCTTGTTCTCGAGTTTTCTCCCTGTCCCTTTTATAATTATGGTCATCCAGATCATTACTGTTACGGGGAAGAAAAAAATTGAAAACTGAACTCAGAAATATTCAGATTTGATTAATTCAGAACCAAAATCAGTTTTAAATAAGGCGGAAACCAAAATATAATGCCTTTTCTGATAACTTGCCCGTGTGTATGTGTATCATTTTGTGAGTTCAGAACAAGATTTGTCTTTAGTTTGTGGGTTTGTTTTTTGGGTTTTTTTAACTGGAGGTGTATAGCACTGTGCTGGATACAGATGACAGAGCAAGACAAGTGGTGCTTATTTCAGTATTTTACCCACACGTGTAAGGAGAGCACTTTTATCTTACAAGGTTTAGGAGAATCTCACTCCTTTGCCTGTCACAGCCTTTCTCTTCCATTAGAACAGCTGATGAAGATGGCTCTTCAGTTTGTGTCTTAGGGTGCTCTTAATGAAGGACTTTGATTTGGATTCAAGAGACCTCGTTCCTGGATGCCTGGAGCATGAGCAGTAACAGGCTGTGCATGCCCCAGAGCCGTGCTGGCTCGCTCTGCATGGTGCCCAGCTGGGGACTGCTCACTTCCAGCTGTGTTCACCGACCACACGCATCTTTTGAGAAAAGAATTAAAGATCCCCAGAGCCACTCCTAGGAATTCTGTACGTATTGCCACCTGGCTTTGTTCCTCACTCCGCAGAGGAAGCTAAAAAAGCACATGAGTCCTTACAGAGTGGGGTTTTACTGCTGTAAATCCTGGTGATGGCCCTGCACCAGTGGGAGACCCTCTGCCAACATTTCTGTGGGCATATAAGACAAAAATCTCTGTGTTTGCTTTCCTGCCATCCCACTAAGGGCAGGGGAACCTCCCACTCCTCTGGACATAGAGGTGAGTACCAGTAAGCTGAGCTGATGTTTCTAATCTTAAAAAGTCAGGAAGGAGCAGTGGTGTGCCTGCTTTATGACTCCTGGAGGTTTTTCAGGCTTCTAGAAACTGTTAGGAAACAAATACAGCAGAAACCGTGTCTTGTAAGCTTTATGTGTACCTGAGGGGGAGGAGGACTATCAGTCTGGCTCTCAGTGCTTCAGGCTTTTAGACCTGGACCAGGGGTAGCTGATGTGGGGAGGAGGAGTGGTGCAGGGCAGGACCCTGGGCAGGTGAGCTCCTTGGAGATATCCCGGCTGGTGCCTTTTCAGGGGAAAAAACACAGGCAGGCGGAGGACTCCCAAAGCTCCAGCTTTGGAGCTTTGGAAAGGTGCTTGATCCTCACAAATATCCCTTTGTAGAAAGCCAACACGGCCCAAACCGAGCTCTTCTCAGAATGCACTCTGTGGGTGTAAAATACTGGAGGTGTGAGGACATGGGCAGGTGTGCATCTGTAACACCAGAGCACCAAAACCCACCCATTTCCAGCTATAAGTGGCAAGTGTTTTATGGGAGCCGTGAATGTGTCATTTCAAAACAGGATTGCAAACAGTGCAGCACGATTGAGAGCAAATTAGTGTCAATCCACCGCTCGGTGTTTTTCTTTACAATGTGCTTTAAGTGTTGATGCCAATAAATACTTCAAGTCTATTTTCGCTAGAGTCTGTGGCAGCGCAGTGCTGCTTACAGGGCGTGTTTTCAGCCGCTGAAACTGGCACTGAGGGCAAAGACCCGGCGGGCGTCCTGGTGGGCTTGGGGTGTGTTGTGGAGCACCATGCGAGAGGGTCCCCAGACACAATGAGGGCTCCTGGGACCGGTGGGTACTGCAGCATCACCTCAGTGTTCCCAAGGGACTCTTTGGCTCCGATGGTGCAGACTCCCCCTCCGTGAACACCCGTGTGATTTTCCTGCAGCGTATTGTCGCATGTTTGTACAACACGGTGGATGGGCGTTGGCTGAAGATGGAGGAGGAGGGAGGGAGTCATGTGTCGTGGTGCTTGCTGGCAGCCTGCTCTCAGAGCTTCTATCTGCCTAACTTGAGGCTAAGGAAAGCTGAGGTGCAGTTAAGCTTCTGCATTACACGTAGTCATTGAAAACTTCCCGTGGCAGGAAACCTGAGGGAGCCTCCAGGACAGAAGCAAAATCAGCAGGCTCTGCTGAAAGCATGAGGCTGTGCCGCCGGGCAATGGGAGCTTTGGGTTCCCCAGGTGCCCCTTGCCGCTCAGGGGCATGCATCAGTGACAAAAGCCTGGGCCGTGCTCGATTCCTGCCCCTCGCAGCCTGGGCTTCCACAGCCAAATATCCTCTTCTCCGCACGCCTCGGCCAGGCTTGGCCCACGGTGACCTGCTCCAGGCAGAGCTTGGCAGGGAGCCGGGGCACGGTCCCGCTCCGGTGAATAAACGCCCTTTGCGTCTCCCCAGCCATGCTGCCTCCTGGCCCTGGCTCACCCTCCCTGTGCAACACAACCCGGGGAGGTTTTGGCCCTCCTTGTTTTGTTTTGTTTTGTTTTTCCTTCTTTTGTTTATATAGGAAAAACTTGGACGACGCCAGGAGGGGGGGCGGTCTGGTAGCCCCCCGGCTGGAGGCAAGCCCCGCAGCATCCCACAGCGGGCAGCCTGGGAAGGCTGGGATGAGTTGCCTTTCTTTGTCAGAGCTGGTTCCCCCCGTCCCTTGCAGCACAGATCTGTTTTTATCAGATGGGACTGATGCCCGCACTGGGGCAGTCGTGGCGGTGGTGCAAGCGCTGCAGTCTCTGTGCCGGGGGGGGTCACAGGCTGCAGGGCTGTTTCTCGATTTGTTTTCGGCCGGCGAACAGCTGTGTCCCGAGGTTTGTGCTTACTCAGCTCGCCTGGCGCTGTGCCCACCGCAAAGCCCGCAGGTATTTCGAGCGTCGCCCACTCCTGCTGCGCTGGCCACAGCTCTCCGGCACAGCCCGCGGCCGCCCGGTGCCTGGTGCAAAGCAAAGCCCCTCAAAAGTTGGAGG